ACAAATATCACAAATGCTGATGCCCAAGAATTATACGTGCAATATTTCTCACTGTAACTTCATAGTTTTCATGTACTCCTGGGTACGCCCGATACCACGACATGCTGCGCACAGCAGCCAAGTTCAATTCAACACACAGATATTGATTCTTCACAGACATCTCAGACTGTGAGCGCATCCATAAAGCAAACGGGGAGGTGAGTGTTCAGATCACAACGGCATACAGAGAAGCGAGATGCCAAGTTCAGACTATGGAACCCAAATAGCTATTTATTATGTGCAAAGCACAGCGTGCAGCTACCTCACAGTAACTGTCCGTATGCACTGATGGATAATCGCTCTTTTTGGTTCAACAATAGAGGCATTCATGTCGCGATGCCCTCTAGAAACCGCTCTGGTTTGGATATCAGCTAGCCAGAGATGAGTTGAAGCACACTTGATGTTTTAACCCGTCAGCCGTGCCTGCGTATACAGATGGCCTGATCATGTTCACTCCACTGGGAAACAATTAATGAGCTCAAGCTCGGTTCGCTGTATACCCTCTCCAAGACCTGCTTCCTCTCTCCCTCCCTCAAGGCAAGAATGTTACTCTGTGTGTATTTCAGCACTAAAACTGGAATGTACACGTACCCGAAAGGCTCGGAATGCAATTACCCTGGCAAAATGCGATTCCCTAACAGAAAGATATATTGTAAATACGTTAATACAATGGGAGTCAGGTTGGTGAAGTGGCTCTTTCCTCACCTTCCACCTCTGCAAACCAGCTTCGAATCCCATGGGTCAGCATGTGGATTGGGGTTTTCAGTCCCTGCCTGACTCTGAGGGTTTGCCCTGGAATATTCATCCTGGGTTTTCCTTCAACCTCTAAAACTGAACATTTCTTCATTGCCTTCTTATTAGCACTTCATCCAGTAATCGACGCTTGATGTGCTTTCGGATGAACGGATATAAATAAACAATGCGTCCCAGTGTAAAATGACCCACTTAAATGCTCATGATTGAATTGAGTCACTTTCTAAAAAAAACAAGGTTACTCCTCCGAGCGTTCCACGGTGTAACACTTTCATAACATATCACGATAAAATGCACTTACTGTTATTTTGATTGGGTCCAGCAACTGGACCAGAAAATGGCAGAAACTCACTTTTGATTGCTTGGTTTTATCAAGGTGAATCTCTGGTGAGTACTATTTTCTTTCGGGGGACACACTGTAAAATATATTGACTGGCAAGAACCAGTTATGCTTCTTTCTGTAGACCACCCTGCCATTCACGCGCAATGCATGAGTACAGTTTCCTGGCATTTGATGAAGTTTTGTTTTGTGCCGGGTGTCTTTTATGTATTTTTGATGGCCGTTTCAAGTACATGTACTTTCTATTCAATATTCACTTCAGACATGCAGCTGATTTCACACAAATTTACACAAGGGCATAATTTCACACTACACCACATTTTGTTAAAGCTGTGTGACAATTTTTGAAGCATTTCACGCAAGTGGCGCAGTGCTTGAGTCTGTGACCTGACAATGAATTTTGGTGTAAATTACGAATCAGTTTATGTACCGTAAGTTACATTGAACAAGGAGGACATGAACAATTTAACAAACAATCATGTTTAGTTATTAAGGGTTCATTATTGCTCAACTTAACAAGTTTTATACAAGAATGGACAACATTGTTTTTTAGGGAAGTAATGAAAACTTGTTTGGCTGTGAGAGAAATTTGAGATTTTCTGCCTGGTTCCAATGGAGAAAAGACAAAACCTCCAAAATGGCGAGTGGAGTGACTACTGTCATATTGTAAGGAAACTGCTGTCGTAAATGCAGTGATTGTCCTCGTTCAAGAAATTTAACGTAAATAGAAACATTGCCCAAATGAGTAACTTTTTGAGAAATTAACCACAAGTAAAATATTGCCTTTATGGCACAAATTTGTGGTGATTGGCTAAATTCCTTGGTGCGAAGTTACGCCACAGTTGGTGAAATCAGCTGCCAGATTACGCTTCAGTTTGTAAACTTTGTGCATTATGTTTTCATCTGGCACGACTGCATTACAAATGTGAAGTTACAGTGTATTTCACTTCTTCATACCAGCTACACAATAAACAAGATTATGCTAGACCAAAGCATGTGTGCAAATAAGGTGTTCAAAGCAAGAAAAGCCTAAATATTCTTCTATAGTCTAAATATATATATATATTCATAAAGTGATCATCAAAACAAGGATATATTTGTCATTTTTGGTCTCTCTGCAAATAATGCAGAGGGGGAACTCTTCGCCAGGTTGACGTTGCTGGGTGATGTCTGACCTTTGACCTAGGGTAGGATCCTCTCCATGTAGTCATTCAAGAACATCCCCTGTGGATCCAGGTGCTGGCGGATCTTGCAGAATGCCTCAAACTCTGGGTAGGCAACCTTGAGCTCCGCTCCAGTCAGCTTGTGAGCCTGTGGGGGGGGGGGGAAATTAGACTGAAAGGTATTAGAAATTAACCACATGCTGCTGGGTGCTTTGAAAATGCAGTGCACACATACCGGAGATTTTCAAGATTTTCAGTTTTCAAAATTCTTCAAAAACTCATTTCATTTAATGGACGTTTACACCCACACGAATGACTGTCTCTTGGCCACTCTAGTCTGGCAGACAAAATCTATTGTCAGCCAAGTATTTCAGCCAGGCTTGCAGCCTTGTAAAAAGCCCAGATTGTGCGGTGTTACGTAAGTTTCTTTTGTTCCCGAAACCGGCACAGTGCACTGCTGGCATCTTTTCAACAGGGACCAGATCAGCGTGCAGTTGTATTAATCGCTCACCGCTGGAGTGCTGGAGAGCTTCTGTACCCCGGTGGTAATCCACTTGCACTGAATGCCACAAATAGTGGTATAATCTTTCAAAACAAGGACAGATTTCCTTCGCTATTGACAACCGAAAAAATGTTGGCAATTCCCAGCAGTTCGGTCGTTTGTGCTGAGTACAGTCTTTTGTTACAAGGCCCAGCTCTTTTGTCCAGCTTCGGGCTCCCCAGCTTCGTATTTAAAGCCTATGTGCTCGAAAACGGAGGGTAAGGAACTAATAAATATGCAATCAAGCGATTACTATTTAGGGGAGAAACCGGATAATTCCAGATCCAGTTGTCCAAATTGCCATCAAAGCACAGTACCTTCTGTTTTTGAGAAAAGCAGTTCTAAATGTTTAAACAAGTGTACTCTTTGTGTTCCTCACCACAAACGGATACCAACTGGTTTTTTATGCAATATATCACGGTGTAAAATTTGACAAATAGTACATCTGAGAAATATCCCTGCCCGTAACCTTCAGTTCGCCCTTGCTCTATGAGAGCAATTTACTGCCATTCAGTAGTACTTGCCAAAGCACTGCAGATGGTGTCCATTGGAGGATTCTTTGCATTACCAGTGAAGTGTACAGCCCAATTGAAGTACACTCCAGTGTACTCCAGAGGATTGTGGCATGTGGCTTTGCTTATCAGTGTAATACACTAGGTACTAGACCAAGCTGACCTCCACTGCTGTGCAATTCCTTGAAGTGCACACAGTTTCTCCATTGCAGTGGTGTGCGCCATGTAATAAACATAGCCACTTTTTCTCAGGGGAATATTGGAGTGCATTGGAGTGTAAACAAGAGCAAGGGTTAGCGCTGGCTCCTGCCGGTACCCACTACAACAGCCGACTGCCATCTCTGTTCCTCCCTGCTGGTACCCTGTCTGCACTGGTATCCGTACCAATATTAGTGCTTACCTTAGCCCAGTGAGGTCTTCCTCCGACACTGTACACGATCCTCTCAAAAGCTGCCCAGTATTTGGCATAAGGGACAAATTTTCCGAAGGGCCTACAATGGGATAACACAAAATGCCATCACGTGAAAAGGTACAGTCCATCATTTGCCATCTGTGCATCACGTTCGTTTGAGGTAACAAAAGTGCTTAAACTGCTAAGAAAGGAGTTAACACAAAGATTAACTCAGTGAATACTGTATACTCTTTAAAAAAAAGCACAATAGAATTTCAATTTCAAACAAAATGTTACCATGCTGTGATTTGAATTTAGTCCTAATTTGGCATCCTGGATAGGTTCTCTTTCAGTTGTTGTTATGCAATGACATGCATTGAACAGACAGAGTTATAATAATCGAGCGCAGCGCACGTGTACCCCTGCCCGCTCTTTGTCAAATTGAAAACAACCTATTGTACAATGGTAACTTTCCAAAAGTGGGTCTTTGGATGTATTGTTGGAAATGGCCTTCTTTCATTGTTTCTTCAAAGTGACAGAACTTTAGTCTGAGAACTGTCTTCAAACCAGATAGCCAAATAACTTCTTTATTCCTACTGTGAAACTGATGAATTAAACATGTACAAACTCACCTGTACAAGATTATATTAATGTAGCATGTCTCCCTCCCATGGGCGGGGCTTAGCATGATGTCATCACCCTTAACAAATCGCACCTCCACTGGGAAGTGAACGTTAACGTCTTTGTTAGCATTCAGCCAAGATTTCAGTTCTCGCAACACTACTGCCGTGTGACGTCTGCAGGGAGGAAAGCAGGTTCAGGTCACGTCCAACTTGCTTTGCTGTGGCTTGATATTACACATGACTCTATGGGAATTTGTTGCAGCCACGGTCATAGACTCATGCTAATCATGACCACAGTCCAAAAAACTCAGACAAGGCCTGGGTCTAATTATTGTCTTCAAGATGATTTGAGAAAGATTCTACTCATGAAATGTCAGATCCTCCATATTCTCAGATCTTTTTTAACCACTCCCTGACGGGCCACCCATTTTTGAGGAGCTGGGCTTAATATACGAAGACGGGGAGCCGGTTTCCGGGCAAAAGAGTTGGGCCTTGTAACAAAAGATCATGCTCAGGACAAAAAAATGAGCTGCTGGGTATTACCAATATTTTTTTCACTCTCAATAATGGAGACAATCCAGCCTTGTTTTGAAACCTTATACCAGGATTTGGGGCATTTAGAGTTAGCGGATTACCACCAGGGACAAAAGCTCTCCAACACCACAGTGATGAGCCACACAACATTGCTGCATGCTAATCTGGCCCCGATTGAAATCGGGGCAGTAGCGCACTGTGGCAGGTTCATGAACAAAAGGTTTCATAGCACGGCACAATCTGGGCTCTTTTTTACAAGGCCGCAGGCCTGGCTAAAATACTCGGGTGTCAATGAAGGTCACCTGTCAGCTTGAGTAGTGCCCAAAGATTACATGTTGTGGGTATAAACGTCCGTTAAATGAAATGATGAATTGTTGAAGAATTTTGAAAACTGAAAATCTTGAAAATGCCCGGCATTATCCACTGCATTTTTTCAAAGCACCCGGCAGCAAGTAGTTAAAAAAAGGGTGGCCTTTTAAAGTGGTCCAGGTACATCCTATGATTCTAGTATATGACCACCTCATAAATAGGTCTGTTTTATGGGCAGGTTTCTATGTTCTGGCCAAATATTTGATAGCACCATTAAAACAGTTTCTCCAGTCTTCACAAATCAAGGTCCTTGGAATTTGAATAATGATTTTGTGTGAGCACTTCACTCTGTCAACACAGAATGAAGACTGCCCATGAAATAAGACAACTGCTAACCTGGGAATGGCCCACTCGGTCACGTGTTGTCTGAAGAGGCAATTGATGGCAAAGTTTGCATGGCTGATGGCGACGTCCTCGCGGCGACCAGTGAAACACCAGTTGTAGAACAGTCGGTTGATGGAAGGGATCAGCCTCGGAAGGAAGGAACTGGAGACAAAATCACATATGCACATGTTCTACATGACCTTGTCAGTTTAATAAAGAAGAATCGGTGAGAACTCCCATTTCTTTTGCCCGGTGAACACTCATTTTCAGCTGGATTTTTGTTGGTTTCCCTGACTGTTACAGATAACCCCAATCCTAAAATGACTCTGAAACAGAAAGGGGATAACCTTGCGTGGACCTGGCTTTGTCAACAGACGGTTGACACAACCTGCATTATGTGGACCTCTTTTCTTCATTGGTCCACACTGTGTGTAAGGTTGGCACACAGAACAGACAGCCGTGATGGTATCTTTGAAAGGGCTCAAAATGGAGCTTGACCTCATGACAGCAAAAGTTGTGAGAGCCAACTTGTCTAAAACTGAATGTCCCCTTAAAGATAGTTATTACTGTACCCTGTCGCTATTTCAGACATGAAATTAGGTGAGAAATGCCCATCAGTTTGAAATCCCCCGATATTACTGACCCAAATTTTATTAGCAGTGCCAAATCCCTTGACATATTAGTTGCGTGTATGAGTATTTGTTCTTGTTGACTTCCAACCATCCATAATCACTGGAAGACCAGGGCAACATATTTACAAGAAGTGTGCCTCGTGGCACTACATGTATGACAATTATGTACATGTACTACCCCTCTTCATCAGGCTTCAAGTCAATTTCAGGAGCCGATCAACTGCCACTGTTAAAGTAGATTAAATGGGGGCACCAGCAGAGCAAACCACGGCCAGAAGCATGTACGCACAACTCACTAAACAAGAACGACAACTTTCACAAGACATGAACGCATAAGGTAAAGAAAAACATGGCTGCACCCATGAGGTAAACGAACACGACCCTGGATGGCACAGTATAGAGAGATTTCACATTAGCGCCGTCTGTGCATATCCGCATTGAAACCGAAGATTTATGTGTTGAACTTTGTCGCGCATGCCGTCGAGTGAGTCGACACAGTACATGCAGTATCTGGTTCGTAAGTGTGACGCCACTTCAGTTTAAACCACACCCACTGCACATGCAGATACATGACCACCGCAGTACATTAGTTCACGGTAAATTGCAGTTATTTTTCTTTTGATTTCACATGTCGAGTCATCCTGAAAGACTCTTCCACAAAAATGTGCAGCCTCAGAAGTCTGAATTTAACACACCTTTGTGTATCTTGTGTCTTAACTCCTTACTTTCAATCGTCTGATCGAATTAAGAATTAAAGCTGACACATACAGCTTCATTTTCAAATGCGGAATTGTGCAGATCGACACTAAAAGCGTCGTATTGGGATCCCTTTATTAGCCAACTAGCACATGTCAATACATGCCTGGCTTCTACTGTCATGATAAAAACTTTTCTAAGCCCAGGTGGAGGGAGGGGAGGAAGTGAAAGGAACGTGACTTGCCTTTCAACAGTGTTCAAAGGTCCCAACATCCATGTACCACAAATTGCTGGATTTGAAGCCCAGACCCTACATTTGCAAGGCTACAAGGTCACTCACCCACACAAACGACTATTGTGTCTCAATTTGTCAAACGAAGACAAGGCGTGACTACTGTGTATGTGAACCCCCCCCCAAAAAACAAAGACTCAAGGTGACGTTGGCATGTCAATCCGTTCATGCATTCACTCGACTTCTCAAACGAATGAAGGGGATGAAAAAAAACGTACACGGGATTGACTTCCCATGTGGTGGGATGCCGAAAAATTAGGGTTTACTGGCAGTACGGGTGCTCATTTTGGGGGTTACTGACGTGTTCTGATGAATCTTCATGTTTCTGACAATGTGACAAAGACTGGCACAGTTTGGAATCTCCAAGACTGAATATTTAGTACATTCACGTGATAAAGGTGAGCNTTTCATGCTATTGAATGAATTGCGACCCATGACCCAGAATTCCATGTACAAATGTAAATTACACAATGATGAATAATAGTAAGTTAATAAAATGAGAAAACAGGTGGCCTGATATACATGCACTATGCAAACTAAAACTGGACAGCTAGAACTGGATGGCTTCAAGTAAACTTATAACCCAACGATAAAATAAAGTTTACCAATAATTCATTTCTCAAGATCACAAATTGGCTTCTCACCTCACCCAGTACAGGAACTGTAGGATATGATAGACCAGGAGGTAATCGTGAAACCAACTGGCACTGGACACCAGCGGTTTCTGGGTGCGGTCATTGTACCACATCACAGCGCCCTCGGTGTGTGGGTACCAACAGAAGCGGAAGAACTCGCTCTTCGCTATGTGGTCATCCAGGTTGTCAAGGACCTGGAACAAAAAGTCACTTAAGCAACTACATGTACCAGTGAGAAACACAATGCCAGTAAGGAATGATATTTTGGCTTGTGACCTTTTGTCACTAGGCAAATTTATTACCTTTAGTGCATTCTAAATTGACTTTAAATACAAAAGCTCCGAAAAATATAAACCATTAGAGTCACCTTGACCCTAACCCTCCCAAATCCTCCAAAATCCTTTTCTTCAAACCATTACAAGATTTTGCAGAATTTAGGTTACGAGGGGTTTTCATGGTTTTTGTTCCTGTAAGAATTTGGAGAAATTGGGGTGTCAGGCCCAATGTACCACTTGAGTATCCGAGCAACGCAGGTACGTAAGTATCTGTGCCAACATGGGGGCAGCTTGCACTTTGTGTGACTTCTGCTAAGATTGCACCACGAGGATTCTGGAAGATTTAGGGTGTCAGGCCCAATGTACCACATGAGGATCCTGTAGGATTTAGGGTGTCGGACCCAATGTACCACGTGAGGATTCGGGAAGATTCACATGTCGGGTGTCAGGCCCAAAGCACCACATGAGGATTCTGGAAGATTTAGGGTGTCAGGCCCAATGTACCACATGAGGATCCTGTAGGATTTAGGGTGTCAGGCCCAATGTACCACATGAGGATTCGGGAAGATTCAAATGTCGGGTGTCAGGCCCAAAGCACCACATGAGGATTCTGGAGGATTTGGGATACTGAGGACTTGGATTAAAAGACGATTTTGAGGATTCCGGATATTGTTACATGTACTTTTTAATACTTTTACACTTCCCATGCTGCATGTACCGGTACATGTATGTGTACATTCTCCTCAGAGTCTTAGTGCACACTGACCTAGCAAGTGCACTCTTACAACTGCTAGCAAATCAGACACCCCCAGTGCAAACCACAGGTTCCGTCTATCCAGGGCTGACATTCACCAGCTCGGGCTCGCTGTATCCTATGGAGCCTCTTGTGACCTGACACGGCCTCCATATCTTTGGCATTTACAAAGATTTTGGACTGGCCCTGTACCACACACACATGTACATGATCATGCATGGGCAAGAAACCCATTGGAGCCAGCAGTCCAACATGAATACCAGCTATGGACATATGGGTAAATTTTCCACAGTGGTGTATTCAATGCGTAGTGTTCAATCACAGCGTTGGCATAATGTGTAAAGGTACCCTTCAGAATGCCAGTTGTTTTCTAAAATCATACCCATTTTTAGAGGGTATACTGTAACTTGAGGCATTCTTGCCTTTTCCATGATTTGGCATAATACTGCCCAAAACCTACTGGAGGAATTTGCAGGATTTAGGCTGTGGGACCCGGTAGCAAAAATTTCAGTATTTTGCAGGATTTGGGATACTTGGAGATTTAACACTCAGGAATTAGAGGAGTTTGTAGGACTCAGGTTATGAGTAAGAAAATTAGGGTAGGGGGTTAGGGTTAAAGAACATATTGCTTAGTAAAATAAAGCAAATGTAGCCATGTAAATCAGTTGGTGTTAAGACAATCATTGTCGCTAACAGCAAAGGAAATCACATGTTTTTTTTAGATGTACCTCGTCCAACGTGCAGGACATCTGCCTCTTGTGAAGTTTGAACTCTGGTTCGCACTGGATGGTTACCGTGACAATGACGCCCAAGCATCCAAGGCTGCACAGCGCGGCACGGAACAGGTCCTCGTTCTCCATCCGGGAACATCGCAGTATCTCGCACTGTGCCGTCAGCAGTTCAATCTGGACAACCTACAGAGAGTCAACCCATCAGAAGATGATGCCAAAAAAAAGGTCTCTTGCAGAAATTACATGTAACCAGCCTCCTAAAATGAGTGAAGCCAAGTAACAAAACGTTTGGGGAGAAGGGTGGAGTGCACCAGCAATAGAGAGACTGAGTTCCCAATTCTGACTCATCACCACCGGCAGTACAGAGCCACATTAATCATGTTAATAATATCAATGCAGCCACAAAGTATTTCTACAATCCTGAAGGAGTACACACAGCTTGATGTCGCCCCTGACACAATCCCAATTTTACCAGAGGGATCCTCTTTATTACCCTGGTGAAGAGAAGCAATCATGATAAAGTGTCCTGCCTGAGGACAACATGCACTGTTACCCCAAGGGCAAACTCACCAGCAAGATTTTGAGATCAAGGATTTATTCATTTTGCAGAGAACAAATTTCACACAACCATGTTTGAATTGCTGTACAAAAAAATTATACATTCGAGCCAAAATGAGCCATGTAAAGGAACCTGGGGTAGCCACAAAAATCTGGGCAGAAGTCACACAAAGTGCAAGCTGCCCCCATGTTGCCACAGATACTTTCCTACCTGCGTTGCTAGGATACCATGCTTGATTCCGGTGCCATGGGTACCTGTGCTGATTGCTCCGGCGATGGTAATATTTGGCATAGATCCGAGACTGTGGTGAAAATCACAGGATCAAAGGTGTTATCTTCTTATTAAAAATTTAAAAACAGAGGGCGTAGATGTACCATACCATATTGGATTCAAAAAGAGAAAATGCTAATTATATCATTATCCATGTATTTTCACATCAACCAAATATTTTTCTGTGCTAAGCCTTTCAATTTGTTATATTACTTACATAATAGGTTCATAATGTTTTCTCTGGAACAATCGATGAGATAGAAAAAAAATTGAAAACGGCCCCTCTTGGGTAAAATCTTTGGTAGTTGCCCGGTACACTGTGAAAAACACCTCCAACTATTGAGTAGTTTCCCAAAATGCCATAAAACTGCTCAGTGAATTATATACATGGACTTGTGACATGGTTTGACAGTGGATAGTCAGAGCATTGGAAGTCTGGTAGTTCTCAGGGCAAAATCAACTGTTTCTCAACTTCCAGTACTCAGAGGAGGTAACATAATCTACATATATCTACCCGGAATAAACCATGTTATACAGTACAAGAATAAAAATTGTTTTACCATGACCAGAATTACATATAAGTTGAAATTACAATTTCAAGCACTAAAATGCTGAATCAACATGCATTTGCCACTCTCTAATGGTAATGTGTGTGAGTTTGTTTCTGCATTCAATTGGGGACCCTGAACAATAGAGGACAATAAGGTCCCTGATTGACAGAGGGTCCCCGATTGACAACTGTGTACAAAATATATGGGTGGTCTTCCAAAAAAAACATACAACATTCCAACATACAAACAAAAGAGGAACAATAGGGGGTCCCCAGTTGCAGGAAAATACACACTTATGTGTGTGCGCACTTCAGGCAGGAGACAGCTCCACAATAGACCGATTCACTGATGCCATACTTGCGGTGTCCCCATTATTCGGGGCACATTCCTTAACTTGACGCATGTTGTGATTTTGGTTAGCAGTGCGCTCCCATCGGCTGAGAAAGCATTTCAATGTGCATCTTGTCTGTACAGAGATGTGGGGACACCGCAGTAATGGCTCCTGATTCTTGTCACCGAATCAGTTTATAGCTTTATAAAGCATGTGTGTCGTAAATCCTTTCCAGGCAAAGTAGGTACAGTTTACTATGCAGGTCTATTTTACCTGGCGTGGACCCTCGGTTGTGTGCCTTGTTAAACATGTAGAAAAAATAGCAACTGTGCTGATACGTGATGGTGAGATACATGTAGAACATGTGAGAAATAGGTTCTCAATCATGACTCAAGATGAGTAATAACTTACTGTATATTCCATGACAAGGCTTTGATTCATGTACATTGGACAAGTTACTCACTTGCTGAGAGCCATTCCGTGCACGGGGAGTATTTTGGTGTTGAGGTCTTCGATGATGCAGCCTCCCTCCACGGTGATCTGACATTTCTCCTTGTCCACCTGTCAGCGGACACAAACGAAAAAAGCCTGAAGCTGAGCACCAGGACTTTGCTCAGATTGGATCAGGGTATTAACCATGTACCCAATCGATCACATACATGCACATGTATCCGTATGAAACCAGTTCCAGATGACTCGATAAGGTACATGTACATGCACTCAAAACCAAAGATTATATAGCGCCGAAGGCGCAAGATGGATAACTCTGCCCAAAGTTGTAATTACCACGGGTGCCATTTGAGCAAGCAATACGCCCGCACGGTTTACGGTAATGCTTAGGCGCGGGCTCACCAGGTGTACATGCCTGCCGTGGTGCCTACACCTGTGCATTAATGTGCATTGCGCAGGCGTATTGCTTGCTCAAATGGCACCCGTGCGATTACATTTTACGTGTATTCACGGTGAAGTTCTCCATCTTGCGTCGCTACGCGGCGCTATATGATCTTTGCTCACAACAGCCACGTAGTAACCTCTCATACAGCCAAAAGGAAAGTTGTGAAAGTTCTCCTTTGAGATACTGACAAATAAAAACCAGTGACTGCACGCATGCAGTCTGGTAATAACTGCTCATGGTAACCATGACATCTCATTCAGCACTGATTACGAACACATGCACACAGCAGTAATTGTTAAGTAAGCATTTTCGTTATGTTCCAAAGGTGATGTGACAGAAAAGAAGTTGAACACTTTTGTTTTCTGCTTACATGCATCAGGATTTTTCAGTTAAGCAAAAATGAGCAGAGCACTGGTCACAAATACACTTTGCACAATAATTCCAACAGTAACCATGGTATATGTATCGGTACCTGCTTTTTGCTAATACATCGAATATACAGTGTACAAGTATTTTTTGGATTCCATCTGCATCCAGTTCACTTGGCTGCGGCCAGAAATTACACATAACTCTACAGGAACTACCAGTAGCTGCAGCCATTACCCATACATAAATACAAGCCGCTACCAATTAATTTGGGCCCCCAGCCTACGCGTAACTGGGGTTTCGCATCTCCATCAAACTAGCCTCCGCAGCATAAGATAAGGGTGCCTTGTATAATTTATGAACAAAACTGCATCCTTTGATATAATCCAAGTTACATGTACGTACATGTACATGTACTTGTGTGCGTGTCTACAGTATGTTCCCTGAACAATGTACATGAATCATTTTACATGTACGTATAGCCTTGGCATTACCGTGCCAGCTCTTTCCCAACAAAACACACAAACAAGCAAATGTTGACAAACAAACTCGTGGAGGATGAAAAGTACATATACCTCAATGACGTGATTGAAGTTCTTCATGTTGATCATGTAGCCATCAGTCATCGCGATGTCGGACGGGGAGTGGAACTGGCCGCTCATTCTCACGCGTTTGCTGGCCTTACGCGCCGACTCCAAAATCTGTTGATGCACAGCACAAAAACAAAACCAAAGAAAAATACTGGGAATCTGCATTTACCGGTATACGTCTGCAACGTACGTGCACCTCGTTGTCAAATTGTGCTGTTTAACAAAACATCTGCACACCATTTACAGTACAGGTAAATGTACACATACATGTGTAAATCCAGCCAACACTTTCGTGCTCCACACCTACATGTACATACCAGTATGTCACATGTAACTCTACTTACACGTACATGTACACGTACTACGTATGTTGCATGAACAAATCAGTGCTATAGTGTGTGCATTACTTTCTTTTTGTGCAGTTAAGAAAACTTCGTGAAAATACTCATTTTTCTTGAACCGGGGACAGGATTTTCAACTGAATTTTTGTACAACTGTTTCAGTGACTGTTCGTCTTTCTTTTAATTACGACAGATCACCCTCACCCCAAAGTGCCTCTCAACCTCTTTCTTAGAGAAGGGGAAACATTCTGTGGTCATGGGTAAGTCCACAGAGCGTCTTCCCTTCCTGCATTGTGTTGACATCTTCTGTTCCACACGTCCACACTACGGTAGGTACCGGTATGTGAGGTTTGCTCACAATGTACACATCATTCTGGGTGTAAAGTACACGCTGGAACCATTTGAAGCAGACTAGTGCTTGAAGCTGTAACTGCTTATAAAGAAGAAGATACATGTACATGTACCTGACGATCGGCCCTAGGGCACAATCTTAGAGATCCTGAAGAAGATGTTTTGAGTAACGGTAACGGTAGCTGTAACAACTGGCGCAATCAATTTGTTTTCATAAACGTTTTTTCCAATTTTCTACCTTTGTCTGGCAGTTTTACCCTTTCCAACGGTTGTTTCACTATTTCAAAGGGTATTTTACTGCCTTTGTGGTTTTTTGCAAATGAGATTTTCAAATATCCAGGAGCAAAAATGTGATGTCATCCCAAGAAGAACACGTTTGTTTGTACACAAAAAAGTCCCTTTTTTGTAGGCATTTTTGTACATTTACTGGGCTACATTAAACTTGCTGATTTGCACATGTACATGTATGTACATGTACAGCATAATTATTGATGTTCCTACATACATGGAAGGGGAAAACTTACACAAGTTCACGGAACGTTGCCAGAGCAAGGAAGTTCACAGTAACCAGGTCAAACATAGAAATTCAAATATATTTACAATTTATTTCCTATACATATATGTTATAGATCACAATTTAAGGTGATCAAACTCACATGTACGTTTGTAGTCCGTTTCTATTCAGAATGACGGACTTGTAAACTCTTCTAGAGCTACAAGGCAATAGGACACCATATCTTGTTCAACTCAATTTCCATCATCAAAATCAGATAGGGGAAATATTTCAATACACTCGTAAAAACTTAATTATTTACAAGGAATTTTCAATGGCAATTTTGCCATTCAGGAATCACAAATATTTACAACAATTCAATCAATAATATTTAACCCCTTGATGATGGGAATTTCTTTCCGAAAGCCGACTCCAAGAATTCCAGCCTCGCTTTGCCATGAAGGCCACCTGCCAAACCACAAATTCTCGGTTTGTGGCCCAGCGTGCTATGCATGCTTTGAATTACACAGTGAAAGGGCTGATTGTTTGGTGGCATGCGGCTCTACTCACGCTTCCACATTCCCGTTGCCTCTTTTCAAAGTGGGGAC